ATGGCTTCCAACCTACTAGCGATGGCGTCCAACCAAAGAGCGATGGCCCCCAACCTACTTCCGATGGCCTCCAACCTAAGAGCGTTGGCCTCCAACGTAATAGCGATGGCCTCCAACGATGGCCTCCAAGCTACTAGCGATGGCCTCCAAACATATAATTAAAGGTTCCGTGGTGTCCGGCTCCATTTGTAACAGCACAATCTTCAACTTCAACACTTGAAGGGTCTTGAAGGCAGTGGCATCAAGAGCAGTTGATTGACATGCCTTCGTTCTTCAGGCGCTGTACCCAACCTCGGTGCGCCCTTTAGATTTGCCCGGAAACGAAGAAAATCAGCTTCCGATTGCAGTCATAAGCCCACCCACAATTTCTGCTTGTTGTAATGTGCACCCAAACTTCAGGCCTCAAAAATATTGACAAGTCACCCACATGGGCAATTATATGTTTCACATTCTTGGTTGATTGGAATTAGAAAGCACTCAAACTTTTAAACTTGTGTTCCAGCTAGTTAACTCTGGCATTGAACAAATTGCCCATATCATTACCCCAAATACTCGCCTACCTTGCGGTGGTTTTAGTGAAAAGGGGTCAATATGGTCAATGTAGGAACATCTTCCCTGGTTGGTTTCAATTCACGAAACAGATGTGAATCGATGCCAAATATACATCCCAAGTAAAGCTTTTCACACATCCAAAACCACCACCGTGAAGTCGTTCTCAGGAAGCTGTCATGGGATGATGTGAATGCATTGTCGAGTCTGGCTGTCGAAACAACCCAGAGTCGTGTGAACCCGAAGATGCCAGGAAACCGCCTAAAAACATGAGGAGAAAAAAAGGGAAAGATCTTGCTGAAGTCCTTCCTACGGCCACAAATTCTCATCTGGCACAAATATCTTTCGTTGAGACATGTATCATACCATGCAATTATATCATTAGGGCACACACACACACACACATTCCAAAAAACAAAAACGTTTCGCTGGAGTTTTGGGTCAGGGTCACGATTCCGTTGATATTCCAGCAAGACATCCAGCGCCGCCACCAAATGGGGATGTTCATAGCGTGGGATGCCCCGTTCAGTACTGGTCACTGCGAAGTCCGTCGCGCTGGCGATCTCCGTCAGAGCCGGGTCCTGCCGATGTCGCCCAGTACAGGACCAGGTCCCCTATAGGGATCCAAGTACCTTCTCAGGTTCGGTACGACTGGACCCTCGCACCTACAGTCGAACACATGTCGAACACATCACCGCTGCCTGAGGTTGAAAACGGATCCCTGGGGATATACACTCCCTGAAACAATCATGGAAGTGGACAGTGGCCCCTTGGAAGATGATTTTCCTCTACCAAGAGGGGGTTGTCCACTTCCATGATTGTTGCACGGAGGGTAACCAGGAGTCAGGGTGCCCCTGTCGCCGAACATCCACGGAAGGAGTTGGGTGCCCCGTCGTCACATCCACACTCCAGAGACTCGACCCCTTGAAGACTCCAGAGACCTTGCGGGGCAAAGGCGGGGCACATGACGGACTGACTGTGAAGGAGCCCCTCGTAGGGAATGAGTCAGGGAAGGAGCCCCCCTAATAGAGATTCCTTTGAAACCATTCCCTCATTCCCTACAAGCCGCATCAGTCAAGTGATGATCCGAGGCTCCGACCATTCATGAGATTCGGGTAGACCCGCACGAGGACAATGACGAGATGCGTCGTGCATCGCGAACCAAGAAACACATATTCCATCTGTTGATGTTTTGGAGAGACATGCATTTCCTAAAGAAAGGGTTCAAGATTATCCACTGACAGCCGTTGCTAGTAGGTTGGAGGCCATCTGAGCTGTCCGCTCCACCTCTGATGCCTATTCGTTTCTACCTAGGGTAGGACATGTTGAGGTTTCAAAGAAGCTCTGTACCCCAAATCATTCCAGTTCACACCAAAAACATCAGGCGCCATTGGTGGATGAAAGCAAATTCCTCGAATCGGGCCCAGGATTTGAGGGGTATAACTATTCATCAACAGTCAACATGATTAACTCTGGTCTGTCCACGCATCAAAGTCTGCACTGGCTGGTTCATGGGGAAGTTCAGGTTGCTGAATACAATCAACTGAGCTATCCAAGCACACATCCGCAGCAGTATCGAACTCTATACTGCAATACCGGCAATACATGTGCTGCTTGGACCCAGAAGTCAAGTCAGAACATCGTGCTGCATACAGGAGACGGTGCACAGTGAAGCTATATGGCTCTCATGTCTCACCCATCCATGGGCGGTGCACTCGCTCACGAAGCATAGGGGAATTTCCAGCTCCAAAAACATCTGCAATCCCTTGGTACCTTCGTCTCTTCAGAACATCCAAACCACCAAAAACAACAGTCCGACAGTCCGAACGACCCAATTCACTGCAAAATCTCCGTCCTGCAAATGCTTTTTGACCAAGGTCTGCAGAACCTCCGTTTGCGAACGTGCCAAGGAGTTCCAGTTCCCGGTACTCGGTAGCACTGAACTTGCAAAGGAGACCATCGCAGGTAGCACGGCTCCAATTCACTTTGCATGCAATGGAAAGAACTGACTGCCAGCACGGCAGCCCCAAGAACGATTGAACAAAACCACTAACTACTAAGTAATAGTCCTGAATTGACCTTGAACACCTTTTAGGCGTTGTATAAGAATCGGATAAATATGGATGAACATTAGCATTGGGCATTGGGCTGAAGTAGTCGTGTGCAACATCGTGCAACTGTTGTTTGAAAAATGCGTTGTTGTAACAACCTCCTACCTGCAGAGCCAAAATCAAAGCAACACATCGAGCAATAACCGGTACAAACACCACTTTCAGATTGCATGAAGCACACGATCTGTATATATAGATATACATATCCATACATGCCAGCTCCAAAACAGCTCCAAACAACCTCAAAGCCTTATAAGCCGAACCCAAAGACCAACGATGTTGAGCTCCCAACGGATTGGAAGGCTCATGCCCACGTGGCGTCCGAAGACAGTGCCTGGTGTCGGCGCCCGCCCGCGCTGCGAACGCCGCGCCCGGCGGACAGAATTGGTTGGGATATAGAACCATCAAATTGCTCAGTGCTACACGCACACAATTAGTGGTTCTTAGTATCTCTAAGAACAATCAAAGCCGGTTTTTGTTTAAATGCTTTTTGTTGCATCCCTTCAAAGCCAGTCTATCTATCTCAGGGTTTTTTGTTGCATTTTAGTTGCAATGAACTTCCGCATACACTGGTTTTTTCAGAGATCTGAGGGTTGACTCAGTTGCAAATCTGATCACTGAGATTCTCAGGTCTTACCGACTGGGTAGTCATGTAAAAGCTGATTGACTTTGTTACTGGATATATATATATATTTTTTCATCTTCAACCGAAACGGTCCGACTGCGCCGAGAGACACTCCAGCAAGCTGTTTCCGGCCAAGCGGTTGTCCCCATGCACTCCACCACTGGCCTGCCACCAGTGGGCGCGCGGCAGCGAGCGCGCGGCAGATTGGAAGACCGGTGCTGAAAGTCATAAGAAATGAGGGATGGAAACATCCGAAGGTATCAGTAGTGATGGGTCATACCCTTATTCTCTACTATCAATTGGGCAATCTCTATGGGAATATGTTATTTTTGCTTTAGCTCAAGAATTGACACTTCAGAATCTCTCTGCGGTGCCAAAGAAAATGCATCCTGAAGCAACCCTCCCGGATCGTGTCCGTCCTGTTGATGAAGTCCAGTTCTCATCCACCAAGCGCACTCCATGTGATGCTAGAAAGGGTGAAGGCTAGAGCGTGGTTCATCGCATACTTTTCTTGCAGGGTGCATCCTCCAATTCATTATCCTCCAATTCATTAAAACTACACTACTACACCATACTCTACACCCTTGCTGGCGGGGTTCCCCGTATGGAGTGTCATGCCAACATCGGATGACATCCAACCTCACCAACGGAGTAGAGACCTGAAATGACCTTCTCTTGATCATCCAAGACTTGACCTTGGCTGTGAAAAGCCGACTTCACGGCTGTTTTTTTGCTTTTTTGCTGTTTTCCTTTCAGAGAGACTCATCAGTGAAAAATGAACATTGGGTCTTTCTATAGAGGCGGCCTTGTAGTATCACGGCACGCACTGCTCTACTCCGATGCTTTTCGAAGCGATTCGTCGCGCTAAATCGACGAGGCGCACGGCACGCACGACCAAAACGGCCCCGAGTCCGGTGGCAAATGTCATTGACACCTACGGACTTTTTGGGGAACTTGGTCATCCAGAAATCTGAAAAAAGGTCACATATCCAAGTTGCCGGCAAAAGGGTCTGAAGAATTCAAGCCTTTGTCAAGAGTCCGAAATGACACAGTTTTAAGTGATTTTCTTCCATGTCAGATTGAAGCAAGCGAACACATGAGTGCTACACAACCTATAGGAC